AAATGCTTCCTGTTAGGCCCCCATATTTTCAACATTCCACTACCTTCAAATAACATCAGCGGTTGGTAGCGAGGTCTTTAACATATGGGCCACTGGGGACACTTATTTAACCAGAGCACTTGACTTGTTTAACCTTGTATATAATCCCTGGTGTGGTGGGGAGAAGTTTCCTTCCATAACAGAGGCAAAACTAGATTCCCAGGGCAAAAGAGGGATACTTTTCCTTCATTAATCATCTAAGATCCATGATCTTGAAGACAGTGCCTCTCTAGAGACATAGGAGTATGGAATCAACAACACACATTGAGGAAGTTGCTAAAAGATCCAGAAAAACAAACTCCAATCAGAGCCCAGTGCCATGTTTGCTGGTGCGTCTGGGTGTGGCGCAGCCAGCTGCAGCCGCCCCTCCACTCTTCCAGTGCTGGGTGCTGTCTCCGGGCGCCCCTCCGCTCGCTCGGGCGCCACCTGCAATCCTACAGGCACCGCCTCCTGGGCACCGCCTCAGATCACATTGCAGACGCTGCCTGCAATCACACATGTGTTGCCTTCTGGGCGCCCCCCGCCAGTTCACACGGGAGCTGGCCTTCGCTCCTTGCAGCCGCAAGGTGTGGTCGCTCTTCCATTCATTGTGGTGCTGAGGCAGCTGTTCTGCTCACCCAGTGCTGGGACCGCTCTTCTGCTTGCTGTAGCTGTCCCTGATCGTGCTACTTCTGTCTGACCGGGGACCCCAGGGCTGGTGAGGAGACTGTGTCAGCAGAGCCTCATTTAGACACAGGAGACCAGGTTCGTTGCCACAGATCCGGTTTATTGTAGAAGGGCACTAGCTTATATAGGGGTAGGGGTCCAATCAAGAAGTTACAACTCAGATCTTTGGCAGGGCTGTGTCCTATCATGACATCCCAAGTCAGACACCTCATTAGCATAATGGGTTTCAGGTTACTTAGGTTCCGGTTTCTTTATGGGGGCCTGGTTTCCTGGGAACCACATGACCCAGGCTGTCTAAGTGTTGCAATTTGGGATCTCAAGGGTGGTGATTAGGGAGTGGCAAGCTCTAGGCATCAGTCTCATGATCTGCAAATGGGAGCAATTGTCACAAGGCGTTCCTTGTGGGTCCTGCAGTCAGTTCCTTCAGGCCTGCTGTATGGCTGTCAATAAGACTTTCACCCTAGGCTGAAGCCTGTCTCCCACATCTGGGGAGGGATGGTACAGGCTGAACAACTGAGGACAATCTTAGCCTATAAGAGATCATCACACTTCTACTCAAGGTTTTCACCTGAAATACTAGAGCCAAGAGCTATCCCTAGAGTTTGCTAAGGAAGAAATTCAAGGGTAAAACAGGCCTCCAGGGGACAAGAAGTAGAGCCTTGGTGGCCTAGGTAATTGCCAGAAGACATGACCAGCTTCAAATGCAAGTCCAAGGAGGTCTTATCTATAGGAGCATGGACCAGACACCACCAACTTCCAATATCCACTCTCACTTTCTGTCTTTTCGTAGGATAACCCCGAAGTTCTAGTTGGACGTCTTCAGTTGGTTCAGCAGGAGTCTACATTTCCCAGTCTACCCTGTGGTGAATTGTGCCCAGGTGCTGGTCAATGGGACATGAGTGAAAGGATAGTTCACCTTCTGAATCATATCAGTAGGAAACGGTTCACCCTCCAGCCCCTCCCTGTTTTCCTACAGGCAGGAACAGAAGTTGGTGAACTTAGACTAAGACGAATTGGGACATAAGGTAGAAGGAACATGGGCTCCCGAATGAGCCTGCGGAGCAGAGTTGTTTCTCTGCTCTGCACTGACCACTGACCTCTTAGCCATTAAATAAAAGACAAATCATCTGTCCCCTTTGAGCAAATGTATTTTGCGAACTTTGGTTATAATTTAGTCTAATACTGCCTTTCCTCCCAAGTACAGATAACAATGCTAGAACTGAGTAATATTTACTGAACACTTATCGTGTGCCAAGTATTGTTCTAAATACTTGACAAGTGCTGTCTCATTTAATCTGAATACTTCCTAGATGAGAGTTTTTGTCCTCATTCTACAGAAAAGGAGGTGTACACAGGGAGATGTCCTAGTCTGCCTGATGACTCACTACTAATAGGTGACCAAACCAATAATCTAACTCACATATTCTGGAGTGAGAGCATGTTCTCATTTACTATGTTTTTCAAAGCATTTCTACACAATTTCATGCAGTCAGAAAGACACGGTTCAGGGCTGGCAAGATGCCTCAGCAGGTAAAGTTTCTTGCCAAACAAGCCTGGCAACCTGCATTTGATCCCCAGAACTTACATAAAGATGGAGAGAACTGACTCCATAAAGTTGTCCTTTGACCTACACACACACATGCATGTACATGCACACAATAATATAAATTAGAAAACGTGTTTTAAAAGCATGGTTCAATTTTTCAGAGACCTGTACCAGAATGCTAACCTCAAAACTGTAAGTCTTTTAGTATCTCTACAAGTCAGTTTCCTCCAAACTACTGACCTCATGGAGATTCTGGAAGGATAAATTGAATTCAGGAATGCTGAAGAAATGCTTTTATAGTATAGCATAAATGAAAGAGTGCCTTAAAGCAGGCTGGAAAATCCTTAAAACCCAAGTAACGAAATGCACTCTATTTTTTTTAAAGATGCAAATACCATCTAGCAATTTGGCACACAGCCTGGGAAGACTGAGAAAGCTGTCAAGGAGAGGGGTGCATTTGGCTTTGTACATCTGTCATCCTCAACTGAAGAAGAGAGCGATTAATTGAAATTAACTGGGAGAGTGCACACCTATGTACTCAGTGTATGTGTTGTATACACACATATACCAGTCCTCAATAGAAAAGAATCCTTATTATTAAGACCAGAAGCAGCAACAATCTGCCAAGCCTGCGGGAACTCAGCAGGTTCAGACATGAGTGTTGGGCAGAGTTCAAATGATCTTGGTTCAAGTGAGGTGGGACTTTGACAAATCAGCAGGTCTGACTTTCAGTGGCTCTGTTGGCACAGAAGCCAAGTGTTGCCAGGTCTTTGGGATTCACCTGTGAAGTTTCCTAATTTTCCTTGTGCGCTCCCATTTATAAATAGTGCATCAGGCCAAGGTCACCAGTTGATCTCCTGAGATTTAACCCCTCAGGTAAAAGGAACAGCTGAATCTTTTTTTAAAAAAAATTTGTTATTTTTATTTTATGTGTATTCATGAATTGCCTGCATGTAGGTAAGTGCACCCGTGTCATGCAATGCCCATGGAGGACAGAAGAGGCTGTCAGATCCCCTGGAACTAGAGTTATGGACAGTTGTTAGCTGCCATGTGGATGCTGGGGTTCGAACCCGGGTCTTCTGCAAGAACAACCAGTGTTCTTAACCATTGAGCCATCTCTCCAACCCCAGAACAGCTGAATCTTTAAGACTGCTATGCTGTGGACCTGAGGTGTCTTCCAAGAGCTCATGTATTAAAGACTTGGTCCCCAAAATGGGGCCTTTGGGAGGGGATTGCATCATGAGGGCTCTGACCTCATCAATGGGTTAGTCCATTGATGGACTCATAGCTTGATGGGCTATTGGAAGAGGGTAGAAACTATAGATGGTAGAGGAAGCAGACCATTTGGGGGGCAGGAAGGGCTATTTTGTATTCAGTACCTTCCTCTCTTCCTTTGCTTCCTGGCTGCTATGAGGTAAGCTGTTTTCCTCCACCATGTGCTTCAGCCATACTGTACAGTCTCACCACAGGCCCTAAGGCAGCCAGACCAAATGACTATGGATTGAAACCTTGGACATCAAGAGTCAAAATCAACTTTTTCTCCTTCAAGTAGCTTATCTCAAGTATTTTGCCATAAGAATGGAAAGCTAACACAAGGATTCCTTCTCATAAGTATGTAGGAGCCCAGTTTAGCTTTCAGCTAATTCCACCCTGCCCAGCCCGGCCTCACCCACCGCCTTTTGCTCCCTTCTCCTTGGCTTCCCTTAATCCCTCCAGTGAAGTCAGCTTTCCCTCTACTTCCTGCTCCTGGCCTCACTTTCCCTTCCTTTGGCTTATACAGGACTTAGTCACCTTAAAGACACAAAGCTCCATCTTTCCCCTCCATGCCAGTCAATGTCAGCATGCTTTTTCCTGCCAACAAAATCACATGCTGCCCTCTTTGGCACACAGATGTTTTTTTTCCATGCATTCTCTTGAAGTCAGGTGAATTACCCTCCCCTCTTGATCAACCACAGAAAAAGAGTACAGCAGGGAGGCATGGGCAATCTAGATTCCCCAAAGTCATGGGGGATGCCTTCAGCACTGGATAGCACTCCAGTCACCTGTGACAAGTTGGTATTGGCTGTCCCAGTGGAGACTGAGGCAATCAACTCTTACTGCATGCCTGACTCACCTGCAGCTCTCATTCCTCAAGGGTAGAGAGGGAGGCACCTCTGAGCCTATGAGTGTCTGGCCAATTACCCCAGGTCTTTGTTGGCTTGAACTATTCTCCCCTCCTGTCACCCCCCCACCCCAGTTGTGGCCATAAGCTTCATTTCTTCCTCTCCAACAGGCTGTGGTCCAAAGCTGACAGACCTAAAGCTGATGGTTTCAGTTTCCCTTTCTTTACTTTCATATGACCTTTGGGTCCTGAGGGGCAGGAACATGGCCTGAAAGGATCTCCCAGGAGTGAGAGAGGAGAAGAAACATTCCCACATTTCAATGGCTAGTTTTTCATCAGGCAGCCCATGTCATGAGCTGAGACTTGACTTTTCAAGAGAAAGCCCAGATAGGTCTCAGTAGAGAACCTGTTAGTTGATTTTGGACTGAAGATCCGTGGGTGGGTGCTGTCCTCAGACCCTTGGGCTGAGGTAGGTGGGGCAGAGTGTTTGGATGCCGCCTAGGGCAGAGAGCTGTGCTGTGCTGACTTACTGTTTATTTGTAACCTCCATCCAGACTAGAGCTATACACAATTCTTGCCTTTGTTTCTACAGCCTTGCAGAAAGTGCTTCCCTCTGAAAAGCATAAAAGTCCCCTTTCTTCGGCTTACCCACAGTGCTCTGCTGCTGCCTGCTGCCACCACCACTGGCTTGCTCTGCACACCCAGGCTCAGGTCTACAAGCCCAGGCCAGCCCTAGGCACTAAATGCCACAGCTTGGCTCTTGCAGACTGTGCTTGCTAGGCCCTGAGGGGTGGTGGCTTCCCTGGCAGGCAACCAGCCCTGGTTCTTAAAGCCACAGAGCTGCCAGTGGCTGGAGGAACTCTGCACAGCCAGTTCCCTTTTACGGCAGTTAGCTTGCCCTCCCTGGGCAACAGGGAAGCATAATGAAAATATATGGCCTCCATCACCTGGAGGACTGGAAAATCCCGATACTGGGGGTTGCAGCCCCACAAATTCTGATGTAATCGACCTAGGGACACTTACTGAGCCTGAGGATTTTTAGAACTCCCTGGGTGATTTTTATGTGCAGCTAGACTCTAGAATTGCCATCTGTACTGCCCACAGGTCAGTGGACACTGGAATCTTTTGGGGAGCAGGTGAGGATGAAGGTTCTGATCCAGGAGTCAGACCAGGAGGAGAGTCTGTGTTGAGATCAGGCCATACTCTTAAGTTTGTCCATATTGTAAAGAACAGGGGTTACATGGGGTAGCTGACAGTGTGCCGTTCATCCAGGAATCCAACTAGCAAACAAGCTCTTGGTAAAATACTTGGAAAAAAAGTTCAAACCAATTAAATCATTTGGTGATATTGATAAAATTCAGCACCCCTACCAAAGACTTGTGAACTGAAACTAAACTTGCTCTCCTGATTCAAAGACTGGAACAAAGACTAAATCTCACTCTCCTGATCCAAGGTCTGGCCCACACTGCTCAGGATCACACCTGACTCAGGTGCTGGAAGGAGGGAAGCCTTGACTCTGTACAGATCAAGGGCGAAAGGTTGGAGAGTTGGGAGAGCATTGGCCTCAACTCATGAGAAATTGGTTCCCAATATTTAACAAATGAAAAAGAAGGCAAAACCCTTAGATCCACACCTCTTTGATTATTCATGTATCAGGTGGACTATAAAATTGTATTAAGATTTTTTTTTTGAGAAGGCCAAAGAAAATAATCTGAAAAAAAAATTAGCTCTGGGGAAAAGATAAGGGATAAATTAAAAAGAAAGACAAGCCCTGATAGGGTGCTTACCCCTGAAGATCTAGGGCATCCTGCAGAGCAGTAGGTAACAGTTAACAGTCCCAGAGAATATAGAGTTAGATTTAAAAGATTCTAATAATGGGGCTGGAGAGATGGTTCAGCGGTTAAGAGCTCTGATTGCTCTTCCAGAGGACCCAGGTTTAATTCCCAGCACTCACATGATGGCTAACAACCATCTATAATTCCGGTTCCAGGGAATCCGACTCTGTCTTCTGACCTCTGCAGGCATTGCACAACACAGGTACACTTACACATATGCAGGCATAACATGCCATGTAAAATAAAAAATAAAAGATCCTGATAATGTAAGTGCATTAATAAATAAAGCACCACAAGAACTTGTAACATTTGTTTAAAAGCTCATAATAAACGGATCAGGACAGACAGAGGGCAAACAGCTAACACTTAAAGGACTTAAGAAATATAGATCTGCAGATAGAACTATAACTACCTGCAACAACAAAAATGAATGATCACTGGGGGATCACAGGACCCTCATCCCAAGAGCCCAGAAAATTCTAATGATCCTTGTGGGAAGAGCTATGCAAGAAGACCAATCATAAGTAGGAAGACAAAGACATCTTACCACCAGGGACAAGGAAGTTCTCAGAACATAGCAGAAGATGGGGACTACACCAGGCAGAATTATACAACTTTAGAACAGATATCACACAACAACAACAACCCACAGATGTTGTTTGACTTGAACGCATGTGGGACAGAGGGACAGGTACAGAGGCCTTAAGTGGCTCTGAGACTTAAAACTCAAATTTAAGCCGGGTGTGGTAGTGCACGCCTTTAATCCCAGCACTTGGGAGGCAGAGGCAGACGGATCTCTGTGAGTTCAAGGCCAGCCTGGTCTACGTAGGGAATTTCAGGACAGCTGGGGCTACAGGGAAACCCTGTCTCAAAAAGACCAAAAAAAAAAAAAAAAACAACCTCCAATTTAAACCATGGGCTTCTAAGAGTTACAACTAATGATCCAAGAAGAGTCCTAGCATTATGAGACTGGATATCAGTAAGCTGGAGGGCAACCAATCCTGACTGCAACACCATGAAATTTCGGGATAACTTGAAGTGGACAGACTTAAATCAAGCAGTTAGGAACACTAGAAAATTAGCCATCCTAGCATATGCAATACCACTTGAGGTCCCTGCAGCAAATGAGATGAATAAAGCTTTGCTACTAGGTGGCCCAGAATACCCAAATATCTCATTCATGAATACATTAGCAGGATGCCAGACTATAAATGACACTTCAGGCCTTTAAACTATCATCAGAACTGTATGGACCATACCAAATAACATATATGACAGAATGACTCCCAAATCAGGGCACCATAAAAGATAAAAAGTTTTCCATTCCTATAATCTAAATGCTTCCTACATTATACATGCAGTAACTTCCTTATCCACATCAACTCAACAGACATATGCCTTGTTACAGAAACAGGATGATTGGCAAAAATATTAAGAACCATTTAATTATAACTTAACGCATTAAACAGATATTATGAAAACTAACTTACAAACTCTGTTATGTAATCCAGAATAGGTTTCTAAGCCAATGTGATCAAATGAAACAGCTACTGGAAAGTGCATGGCAAGATATTAGAAATAGTACACAAAGTGGGTCATTTTATACACATAGTTTTTATCAACAGGCAACAAGATGGAGGGACCCATCTAGGTCCTCTGGGTGTTCAGCATCAGGAGGCTGCTCATTATACATAATTTGCCTCTCTGAAGGATCATCACTGACAGGTTATCTTACTATAGTAATGCCACAAATGTGCAATGATCATAAATATCGAACTTTGGGGCTAGAGAACTGCTTCAGCTGTTAAGCGCACTGACTACTTTTACAGAGGACCTGGGTTCAATTCCCATTGCGGTTAACAATCACAACTCCAGTTCCAGGGAATTCAAACCTTCTTCTGACCTCTGCAGGCATTGCATAACACAGGAGCACTTACACACATGTGGGCAATACACTCATATACATAAAAAATGTATATATATATAAGTTCAGAATCTACAGTTATAAGTTCAGAGTCTACAAAATTGACAAATGTTATTAATATTACAGTGAATAGAAAATTTTCTCTAACTTTATATACTCAAGAAATGTCACATAGGGATTTGGCCAAATCATGGCATGATTAAATCCAAGAAATTCTGTGGATTGACACAACACATGCGGATACAGCTATTGAGTCAAATCAGGAACAACGCAAGACTGCATCTTATGCCTTCCATAAGCAATTAGCAAATATAAAAAACTGAACCGAGCTTACCAAACATGTAGTTGCTATTCCAATTGTAAGCTCAATCGCATTGGTAAAAGATACTGTACAGCCTTCCAACTAATTAGAAAATCCCTTAAAACATGTGCTGTGTATAGCTTCATGGTCTGAATGCAACTCTCTGACCTGAATTAAAAGTGGCTGGTATAATCTAATAAGCAAAATTTGGTCCCATCTAAAGGAAACACTGCTCTTATTGTTAGTAATTCTGTTGAGATTCTATTTTCTGAAATCTTGCAGAGTCAGCCTTTGTAAGCCATCTAGTTCAAAAAACAATATCTAAGGTTAACCAATACCAAAGATGTAAGAAGGGCTGGGTGTGGTGGCACATTTGGGAGGCAAAGGCAGGTGGCCACCGTGGTCTTCATAGAGAAGGCAGGAGGCCACCCTGGTCTTCATAGAGAGTCCAGGTCAGTTGGGGCTACAGGAAGACCCTGTCTCAAGAAGACCGAAAAAAAAAATGTAAGAAGGAATTACACTGAAGCTTATAAGCTATAAGCTAATGACTCAGAAGGCAGAGGCAGGTAGATCTCTGTGGTTTCAAGGCTAGTCTGGTCTACATGGTGAACTTAGTTCCAGGCCTACCTGGTTTATATAATGAGACCCTGTCTCAAACAAAACAAAACATATATACATAGATAGATGGATAAATGGATATAGGCATATTAAAGGCAAAAAAATATAATTAAAAAAGAAACATTTTGGGGGTTACTTGGGTTAACAATGACAATTCCGGATGCCATGGGTGAGCAAATATAAAGGCCGCTGCCAGGTATGAAATACCTCCCTATGAGGTTCCAAATGACACAGGTTATTGCCATTATGCTTGATTGCCCACAAGAACTAAGTGATAAGACTCTATTGCTAAAGTTGACACATGCTTCGGTTGAAGGAGATGGAAAAATCAAACAGAAGGTAACTTATAAACTTCCTCCCTACTGGCTAGCGTCCATAGTGATGGAGCATGCTATGCAGGCTGCTGTGGGAGAAAACCTCATTGACAGTTTTACTCAACTGTGAACCTTGCATGCTATAATGCTAACCTGCCAGACAGGATGTGCCTACTGGTGTAATAGTAGCATGGTTGTTTGGGGGGTAACCAACCGCTCTTTAATTGGATTTCAAGCCTGCTATATGGGAGGGAATTCAGAGTTGGTACTGTAAACCCGGTCAAAACAAACCATGGCTGAGGCTATAAGCCCACTGGGAGAACCTACTACTATTATTTTGCTAAATGGACATATCGTCAAACTACGCATGTTTATACCATAGGTAAGGCTGTTCTCAACCTTGATTAATGATGATGATGATGATGATAAATACTTGTATAAATATAGACAGTCATGACTACTCAGGGTGCTAAGAATAAGGAATTGTTAATGACTCATTCCTAAGCAGGATATCCGTACCTCCCCCTCTAAAGCTCCAGGTACATCATAGAAGAGGAGGCAGAAAGAATGTAAGAGCCAAATGAGAGGCAGAAAAGAAGAGAAGATGAAATTAAATAACAAATATCCTCACACATGTTCATACTCTTCCAGCAGAACCACTGGGCTCCTTCTCTGAGGAATCAGGCGATGGAGTGTTGAGTTCAGACTGTGTCCTACTCTAAATTACTCCATATTGAAAAAACAGTGGTTTTTCAGGCTGGGCTTTGTCCTAGGAGACTCCAT